TCCTCGTCCTCCCCCTCCTCGCCGCCGCCCCCGGCCCCCGGGCCCTCCTCCCCCTCCTCCTCTTCATCAAACTCCTCCACCACCAGGCTGCCCTCGTCCAGAGAGAAGCGGTCGAACGCCTCAAGCTGCGGAAAGGGGGGGGGGACCACGTGGGCGTGCGGGCTTCAAGCTCGCAGGTGTGTGCGGGCATGCAGATGCCGTGGCCTTGGCATAGGTTTCGTTGCGTTTGCCAATGTGCAGGTCATAGCTGCCTACTAGCCGCTGCCGGTTGCGGCAGGTGGTATGCGCGATTGAGGAAGCGAGACTTCCCTATGGTTAGACCGATCAACCAGCCCTGGTGCGCTGCGCTTCGCACAGCAGATCACGAACGCTCAGCATTGGCGGCCCTCCAGGTGCGCCTGCACGTGGCTGCAGCGGCGCTGCCGCCGCGGCGGCCATCCTTCCGGGCTCACCTCCTCCTCTTCCCCGACATCTGCGTCCTCGCCATCCTGCGCCGCATTTTGAAACAAGACGTCTTCCACCAGATCCTCATCTGGTGCCTCCTCGCCTCTCTTAGATGTACTGCGCGGCCGTCCCCTCCCAGCCGCTGCCACTACGCTGCCGCCAGCGCCGCCGCCGCCGCCTCGACTGCCCCACCGTTCCATCAGTTGGTGGCGGGGTGCGCTCGTCGCTGAGTGCGGCTCCATGCGGCCGCTGCAGCAGGCAGCTGCATGAGAGAGGCGGCGAACGGCATTTGGGGGCGGGACCACTCTGCTGACGCAGACACTGCCAGCACCAATGCTGTTGCCGCAGCAGGCAGCCGCCGCGGCAGTGCTCCTGCCACTAAGGGAGGACAGCATGCCGCCAGTGAGCCGCAAAAAGTATTATTTTATCCACTCAATGATGTATACCCGCTAGTAAGGTGCGACGATGAAAGCGTGTGAGTGAATGATCTCGCTGACAATGTTGCTCAGAGTTTTGTATGATGAAGTAAGAGACAGGGACAATCTCTCTGAGGGCCAACAATCGAGCAGAAAACTTTTTGTTGATGTTGCAGTGCGTGCGTTCAAAACTGCGCTGCTTGGAGACCAACAGATGGCCAGGACGTCAGGACTCCGTCTGGACGTCAAGGGCTGATCAGCTCACACTGCAAGTTGCATGTGCACTCATTTGATCGGATTTTCTGCCTGAGAGGGCGACAGCGCTTTGGTCGTCACTGTTGCATCTCATTCTGGTGGCGCCACTGGGCCGCCGGCACATGCATGCGAGCTGGACTGCTTATGATAAACAGACAGCTTGCTAGGTCAGGCCCAGTGTGCCCCTCACAGACCAGACCGATGACTACACAGCTTCATGAACCGTATGCTCTCTTGGAAAAACACTGGCGGGCAGCAAAAATAGTGATGTGATCTCAAGGGTGCGATGAGAACCGACCAGCAAACTCCACCGGGCGCAAGGGTGCAAGCATGTGCACGCACGCACGCGCACGTGCAACCACCCCCCCCTCCACACACACACAAACACAAAAACCCACAAACACCCTCGGCACACACAGACGCGCCCACACGCCAACACAAAAGCAAACACATGCATACACACACGCACCCACAGGCACACGCTCAACCACGCTGTGAGTGCGCGCACACGCACGAAAGGGGATGCACATGCACACCGACGCGCATGAGCAGCTCCTCAACTCCTTGCTCACCAGCAGCAGATGCGGATGCCTAATCCCGCACAGCCCTGCAGCAGGTCCGCAGGCTGCAAAGGTGGGGCCGAGCCGACTTCTCACAGCGCCGCCCTCGCACGTAGGTGCTGATCACCGGGGGCCAAGCCACCGAACGCATTCGGTGCGACAGGTTGCAGGTGTTGCCGTCAACAGCGTCGACAGCCGCGCCGCAGCTTTTCGATGCACTGGAATCCTGGCGGATACCGTGGCAGCATCAGGTCACACGGTCGGCAGGCGGTGCATTCGGGTTGCGGTTCGCGCACCCAGGTCTGCGCGCGCACTGCCATCGCTGCGCCTTGCTGAGGGCCGCGTGGTCTGCCCAATGCCTCGTGCAGACCTCATGTGCTGCGCCTGTGTTGCTCACCAAGCCAGCCGCTAGGGAAACTCTCACACTGGCTGGCTGCACAGGTATACCGCCTGAGCATGGTGTACGAGCACACATACCGCGTGTGTTTGATTTTACAGGATTTGGGGCTGCAAAGATGCCAACCTCCGTCCACCTGTGTACGGTGCGGCCTAGTGTTAGAAAAGGACAAGCAGGGCAGCCGAGGCGAGGCAGGCGCGGCGCCTCGTTGCAGGTACGGCAGCTGCGCCCCAGGTGAAGGCGCTTGCGCAGTGGATGGACCCGCTCAGGGTCGGAATGCAAGGTATAATTGTGCCAAAGATCTTACCAGCTGGCTGCCCCGTCTCCCATTTGCTGGTGCCTGCTGGCACCAGCAGGAGCCGGCGGCAGCCGAGCATGCACAATTGAGGATGATGATGAAATGGAAAAAGCATGCGTTGCGTGACCGTCAGTGACTGGTGGACGACGCAACAGCAGCCCAGGGCACCTGTGATGTGTGGGAGTTGATTGTGTACGTGCAGCCACACCAAGCAAACAGCTTCTTGCGCGAGCACCTGCTCAAATTCAGCATCTCAGCCAAAAGATGCGAGACGCTATGCGCCCCGGCAAAGGCTGCGATTGGCCACGCCTTTCAGATCATTCAGCAAGGGTCCTTGGCTTCAGAATGCCACATGTGTGTGCATGCACAGGGGCCCTGCGCATACGCGCTCTGGTTTCGTGGCTGACTGGCAACAGGGCGCAAGGTGCCCCGCGGGCGGCGGTCTGAGGAAGCTCCAACAAACGCGCACGCCCCCCATGTGTTATGGCCGGGTGCAGAAAAGTGGTGACCAAAACAGGCGTCCAAGAATTGAAGACGATATCGCAACGGCAGCTTGGTGACTGCGTCGGCACAGTTCAAGGCGCCACAAACCTTCAGCGCCGGCGCATAAATAGACAGTTCCAGGCAGCCCCAACCTGCCGCCTGGCAGCCGGCCAAGCACATGCGCCGTGCGCTGCAGGGCCCAAGCTCAAACGCTTACACCTCTGGCGGGGCTAAGCTGCTGCTGCAGAAACCAGGTAACAGTGAGCAGTCCCTGGCGATCATGGGGTGCACTGCTGACCCGCAATGACATCAACGGAGTTGAGCAGCAGCACCGGCTTGCGGCCGGTCGACTTGCACACGCAGCCGGCGTCGAAGTCCGGGTTGGTGACCTGGAAGTTGCCAGTGACCAAGGGGCTCACAACTGTGCCAGGTGCGTTCACAGTGTTGCACGAGGAAAGCTGGGTAAACCTGTGGTGCAACACGTGGTGTGAGAGAGGGCAAGGGCAGAATATTCAGAGCAGTCTGGTGGATGCGGGGGAGGGGGGACGAACACTGCACTGCTCGTGCCTCTGTGTGCAGGCCGGGCCAGATGCAGGATTCGCCTAGACTGGCAGTCCTGAGCTGGCTAAGCCCCTCGTGTTCCCGCGGCTGCAGACCGCACCTGCTATTGGTGCACGTGGCGACGATGTTCTGGGCACGGCCGATGACATAGCGGGGGAGCGACTGGTAGACCAGGTTGAGGGTGCCGTTGGTGCAGCTGACGGTGGCGCCGCCCACGGTCTGGAACTTGTTGGTGCACCTCAGGGGGTTGCTCCTGGACGGTCTGGGCACGCACACGTTGGCAACAAACCCGACGCTGAAGGGGTAAGTGGCTGGAATGTGGTTCACGGCAACCCTGGGCGGCCTGGTTGACCTGCAGTTTTCATGAGGCCGGAAGAAGCGGCATGGGAGGCAAGGGATTGAGGCGACGAGGTCAGGGCATGGCCACTAGCAGTCGGCATGTCCTGTGTGGGGGCTGGTTGCGCCTTCGCTGGCAAGGTCATCACCGACGCACCCCTGTGCAAAGCAGGGCCATGTCAATAACAAACATGCAACAGCTGGGCAAGGGCGGCACGGGCAGCGGCATGCGTGCGGCACTCACATCTCAGACTGAACGAACTCGCGGATGTTGGCACATCTGCAGGTGGTGGGCTTGAAGCGGCCGAGGCTGGTGAACCTCCTGCCGACGTTGATCCTCCTGCAGGTGGATGCAGTGCCAGTCGCGGGCTCCCTCTGCCTGGGGCTCACGCAGCACCCTTCAAACGTGGCCTGGCGGACCCGCTGCAGCAGGCGGCGGCCCTGGGGCTCCTCCGACGAGGTGTCTGCCGCGTTGGCATCGATAAAAGGTGTGTTCCTGTTGAGGCTAGAGGCGACGAAGGCGTAGCCGCCGACCGTCTGGCCGCTGACGACACAACGCTTGGCGCGCAGCGTCGCGGGGATGCACTGATTGTCGGTCGTCGCGCAGCCGTCCGTCACGCGCAGCCTGCTGAAGACGGCGGTGCTGTTGCACAGCGCCCCGAGGAGCGCCGACGTGCAAACGTTGGAAATGGTGGCCGCGGGGCCAACGGCGGCGGGCGAGTTGACGGCGGACAGCAGGGTGGCGATGGGTCCAGCGGTGGCGGCGCCGACGGTGGTGGCCATGGTGACAAGGACCTTGCCACCATCCTGTGAGGCAAAGCAATGCAGGAGAAGATATTGCATCCTAGTCAGATGCTGATGGTTTTGACATGATGCATCGGACGGGCTGCGTTTGAGTGCTGTAGAAGCAGCGCGGGGCCCACGCAGATGGGCAACCCTGGGTCGGGATGATTTGCACCCATGCACCCAGACACCAGTGATTCGCAGCAGCCCTCGGCTATAATACAACCAGGGACTCTCTACTCTGCCACCACACCACCATCCTCCGGATTCTCTTGTGACACTGCAACCAGCCCCAGCCTTGTGCAACCTTGCAGCTCGCATGAGATGCTCACCACCAGGTCGCACTTCACAAAAGAGCTCTGGACGCCAGTGATGTTTGGCACAGTGCTCAGCCTCGCCACAGCCACAGCGGTGATCTCAGCCAGCCCTGGCGTGGGGTCCGGGCACACGGCGTTGGCGTTGCTGCCATCGGCAGGAGTCAGCAGCAGGAATGTGTTGAGCACCTGGGTGACAAGGCCGACGGGCTGGGTGCCTGGGACGACCAGGGTGCCGGTGGCTGTTGCGGTGAACAATGAGACGCCGTCGCTGATGGTGTAGGTGAAGACCGAGTTGCCAGAGAAGCCACTGGCGTTGTTTGGGGGCGAAGGGCAGCGGAGTTGGTTTTCTTCAGGATGTGACCACGGCCAACAAGCCGGTCCTGGCGACGCAGACCAAATGTACAGGCATTGTTTAAGCAGCCACAGTACTGTCATCGCCGGCTGCACAGCCACTCTGCTTGATGCAGCTTGCTCGGCAGCTTCCCACCAGAAATCCCACATACACAGGCCACTGCCTTAGCTCCCAGGCATGCTCACGGGACGAACTTCAGGGTGACCGTGCCATCGGGCGCCACGGTGACGTTCCCGGTGTTGCTGGTGACAACAAGCTTTGCGCCTGAGCTGGTGCTGACATCATTTGCCAGCACACCAGGGGCTGAGATCACACAGTCGGTGCCGAAAGGGCAGTTGAACGTGTCGTCCACGGCCGTGGGGACGGGGGGTGCAGGGCCAGTGATAGACAGCACCACATTCAGAGTCCTGAGCGACGCCAGGTCGGTGATTGTCACTGGGAAGGTGACGTTGCCGACAAAATTGCTGCAAGGAAGATGGGGTGGTTGTAGACGGGATGCCAACACGATGTGTGAGGAAGATGGAAGGGGCCAGCACCGGGATACCAATAATACAAGGGCGGAGCCTGCTGCAGGCTGTACCCGTCCGTCAAAGGGTTTGGGGCCAATGCGGGCCACTGGCCCGCTCACTGCCGTACAGACTCGCCTCGCCCGTCATTGCCACATGTTGCGCAGGCCGTCTTGCCATAAACACGACGGCAGAGCCGGCACTCACATAGGTGGAATGTAGGTGATCGAGCCGTCAGCCTTGACATCCAGCGCACCAATGGCCGGGGTGGTCCTGCCAGATGACACCAAGAAGAGGGGGAGCCTGTTCGGGTTGGGGAAGACGCTCAGTGGACCGGGGGCGGCCACCCTGCAGACGCCATTGCGCGGGCAGATGTAGACGACATCCACTCCAGTTGACACGGTGGCTGCGGGGAAGGGCGGATTGAGGCAGCGAGTCTAAAATGCATGTGTTGCTCAGCATGCAAGCTGCACCTGCTGGATCTGCACCACTCGCAGCAGTCATGCACCTAAACACGACGCATTCTATGGATCAACACCAGCTTGCAGGACTCCAGGCAACAAGATGCGACCCTCGAGTTAAGGCTCACAGTTGATTGTCTGGTTGCAGGTCGGCCCGGTGAAGCCCGTGGGGCATGTGCACTTGTTGGTGTTGACACAGATGCCTCCATTTTGGCACACGGGATTGCAAACTGCACAAGGCAGCGACCGCATGAACCAAGAAGGTATGTTGCTTGTGGCTTTTGATGACAGCTGCAGAGCACGCCTCACTGCGACTCAGACCACTACAGCCCTCCCGACGACTCATACGGCCTGCACAAAACAAAGCTGTCTGCAACGTATCCCGATGCTGCTGATTTGCCCTGCCCTGCCCAAGCAGCCATATACATTCCAAATCCCAACCGTGCCTGCTTACCCGGCGGGGGGCCCGTGCAAGTCGGCCCAGTGAAGCCGGTGCCATCGCAGTTGCAGGTGTTGTTCCCTGAGCACGTGCCATTGTTCTTGCACAAACCAGGGGTGCACACTGTGTAGGGTGCATTTTGCGAGGTTTGATTGTGAGCTGTTGCGTAATACGCTTGCAAGTCCCATACCGCAGGCTACGACCCAACAGAGGGCAGCTGCAAGCCCACATGTTCTAAGCAGTGGCACACCCACCTGGAGGCGTGTTGCACGTGGGGCCGGTGAATCCAGTGCCGGCGCAATCGCAGGTGTTCGTCCCCACGCATTTGCCTCCATTTAGGCACGTTGCGTTGCAAACTGCGCGGAAAGATTGCGGGCAGGCGCGCAGCCAGGGGGATGTCAGGCGGGCAGTTAAGGCGGACAGTTAAGTAGGTGCGTTTCCTAGCTAAATGCCTACGAACTTGCCGAGCTGCCATCACAGTTTGTGAGACAGGCAGCACTTCCCACTGCACATACAGGAAGGCCTCAAGGTCAGTCGGAGCTGCCATTGGCACAACCTGCACAACATGCACGCATGACTGCGTGATGCAGCGAGGGGCTGACAACCCACCAGGGATTGTGTTGCAGGTCGGGCCAGCAAACCCAGTGCCGGTGCAATCACAAACATTAGTCCCCACGCATTTGCCATTATTGGCACACGGCGGGTTGCAAACTGCGTTGATTGGTGAGCAGAAGGCAGCAGATTTGGTTGCTACAGGCTGCCTGGGCACCATGCAAGCTGCCAAGAGGACGCTCGGGCGACATCTGCGGGAAACTGGTGTCGCGTCAAGCTACCACAAGCGCCCGTCCGACGCAACACGCTCCTTACTCCGCGTCTGCATATTGCTCGCCCACTCCACCAAAGTGCTGGATGCTGGCTGCGCCCGGGCAGCAGGGTTCCTGCACATCAATTGAGGCGCCGCTGCCTACCCACAGTGCGCACCAGCCCGCCGACTATGCTCCAGCACTTGCAGAACACAGCACTTGAGCAGGTATCTTTCCCCAAACATGCACGTTGAAATGCGGCCCACCATTGGTCCCGTTGGTGGTCCCGTTGGTGGTCCCGTTGGTCGTCCCATTGCAAGTGAGGCCCACAAAGCCCGGCTTGCAGGCGCACTTGTTGTTCTCAACACAGACACCTCCATTCTGGCATGTGATGTTGCAAACTACGCATAGAGAGGGAGGCGCAGGAACAGGAGGGATCGCTCAGCATCAGGGCCCCCCCCGGACACTCCCCAGTCACACATGACCATCTCAACCGTTGGGTCCGCCTTGCAAGAACGCTCATCAGCAGCTTCTAGTTTGTCAACAAAACATTGGTTGTACCATGCCATCACTACTCTGCCAAGCCTCAACGATCACCCCACGCACCTGGCGGGGGTCCCTCACACGTCGGTCCAGTGAAACCAGTACCCGCACAGTTGCAGGTATTGTTCCCCGAGCAAGTGCCATTGTTCTTGCACAGTCCGGCGGTGCAATCTGCGAAGACAAGACAGGGATTGAATCTAGACAATGGACAGAGGGGTACACAAGGGGGGGGGGGTCTCCCAATGGCGCGATCTCTCTGGCGATTCGCAACCACTGCTCACAACATGACACTCACTGTTGGGCGTCTCGCATGTGGGGCCGAAAAAGCCGGTGTTTGTGCAATCACATGTGTTGGTATCAGAGCAGAAACCCCCGTTTTGGCAAGCAGGGTTGCACACTGCATAAAATGGTGTGCATGAGGTGAGGGAGGCTGTTAGCATATGTGTGGGCAGAGCGAAGGCACCTGAACCGCGACCAGCTAAAGAACAAAGACTCACATGGATGCTGCCACTGCTCAGGGGTGTCCCAGCTTGTGTTGGCGGACTTCATGCAATCACCATCACCCCAGTGCCGCACTCAACGCCATCAGCAACAAAGTGATGCATCATACGCCTCATCAGATAGAGCTCAGGGACCCTGGCAACGCACCAACTGGAGTAGAGCAGATTCTATCGGTGAAGCCAGTGCCATTGCAGTTGCAGGTAAGCAGGGCATCGCACACGCCTGGGGATGGATGCGTTTGGATGAGGCGGGGTGAGCGGAAACGCCGCCCAGGTGGGCCTCCATACAAGAGCTTCATCCAGTGCGAGAGGCACGCAGTGAATAGCTCAGGGCAACTACTGTAACGGCAGCTTTGATGAGGGCTTACGCACCGCCATTCAAGCAGCCTGGAAGGCAGACAGGCAGGTCAACACTTGGGAGGGACGGCAAAATGCCGGCAATTGTCTGGCACAGGGGCAGAGTCGAGAGGAGGTCGGTGACGATGTAGCAAAATGCAGTGGTGCCTGCGGTGCGGCACCAGATTTGCCGAGGCGGGCAGAAGATTGGAACCATCATTGGCGTGACTGAGTGCACACTGTGAGCCGAACGCCCCAACTCGATGGGCGCAGTCACAGGCGAGCCAAGGCAGCGCTGGCAGCAAGGCAGGCATAACAGCACCGGCCCATGGACTCGCTCAAGCTCTTTCGCACCGTTGAAGCTGGGCCCGGTGTAGGTGAAGCTGTTGTCAGGGTTGAGGGTGATGGTGCCGATGTCAGGCAGGATGGACAGGCCAAGCACATCCAGGATTCCGCCCAGGGGCAGGTTGGGGGAAATCACCCCACTGAGCAGGCTGCCAGGAAGGCTGGTGAAGTTGGTGTTGCCCTTGAGGTCGATGACTGTCTTGTTGCTGAACACCAGGGGGAGAATGCCAGCAACGGCTGGCACTTGGAGGTTGCGGATCAGGTCGATGCAGATGGGGGCGGTGGCCAGCAGGTCGGTGACCTGGACACACACCTTGGTGGAACCTGGGCAAGAGAGTGGCACAGCAGCCATGTGGCGCAAGAGCGTTTGGCAGAGTGAGGCTCTGGTCTGGTGGCCTCAAGAGGCAGGCAGCGAGCTGAAACATCTGCAACGTTGGCCGCCATACGCGCCAAGCGCTAGGACTTTGTGCGGGCAAGTGGACAAGCAGATCCGCAGCTGTTTCTTGTCACATGTTTGTACGCACGATGCGCGACAATCCAGACTGCCATCCCCCCAGTCTCTCCCACTCCCAAATCCCTACCGTTAAGGTTGGGGCCGTTGTAGAGGAAGCTGCCGTCGGCGCTGACAATGATGCTGCCGACATTGGGCAGCTGGGTGATGCCAACGACAGAGAGCAGCTTGCCAGGGTTAAGGCTGACCACGCTCGACAGCAGGGCACCCTTGCCGCCGATGAAGGAGACATCAGTCGGCGCCATGATAAAGCTCTGGTTCCCGCTGAGAAGGCCCAGGGGGAGCCCATTGGTCACGCCAGGCAGGAGGCCAGCCGCAGTCCCAAGAACAGTGGGGACGAGATTGTTGAGGGTGGCATTGATGAAGGCGTTCAGGCCTCCGCCGCCAAGGACGCCGCCACTGCCGAGGCCCAGGAGGCCCGAGAGGAGGCTGCCATTGCCGATGACAGGGACGTTGCCCAGGAGGCTGCCCACGACAGGGAGGCCGCTCAGCTGGGTGCTGTTGAGCAGGCCGCCAGCCACCGGGACGCCAGAGACGGGGCCAAACAGACCACCGACGAGGGGCAGGCCGCCGATCGTGCCGGTTAGGAGGCCCGTGGTGGACCCGCTCAGGAGGTTGCCGACAGTGTCGACGACGCCGCCAACAAGACCGCCAGTAAGACCCCCGGTGACACCGCCAAGGAGACCGCCGGTGGTGTTGCCGCCAAGGACGCCGCCCAGGAGGCCACCGGTGTTGGTGGCGTTGCCAAGGAGGCCGCTGGTAAGGCCACCAGTGAGGCCGCCAGTGAGGCCGCCAAGGAGGCTACCAACTCCGCCAAGGAGGCCGCCGGTCGTTCCGCCTAGGAGGCCGCCGGTTGTTCCACCCAGAAGGCCGCCCAAGAGCTGCTGGAGTTCGCGGGCGTGGCCAGCAGGCGCATTCAGGTCCGCGGCAGCATGTGGCACCCCGGCCCCGACTAGCAGCAGCACTGCCAGTGCCACCGCAGGCGCCATGGAATGGCGGGCCATGGTGCAGTTGGCTGGGAGGGGGGGGGGCAAGGCGGG